GAGAGAGAGAGAGAGAGAGAGAGAGAGAGAGAGAGAGAGAGAGAGAGAGAGAGAGAGAGAGTTCATCCCATCATAGAGCAATTTTGCCAGCGAGTTGCTTTCATGGCTGTCGAAATTGACACAAATAATTTCCAGAAGAAAACGTCATTGAGTCGACGTAAACCAATCCACGACCCATTCCCAGTTTATACCGGCGGCTTCTTTTTCCCTACCTCCTGATGTCCTCTCCCTCTCCCTTTTCCTCCTCCAACAAACCGTCTGCGACAGCTGGCCGATTTCACTCGCAGCTGGCAGCTGCAGCTGCAGCTTCAGCAAGGCGACATCGACAACCACCTCGGGGATGTGAAAACGCAGCTGCAGCAAGATGACGTCAACAACAAACCCCCTGCAAATGAGACGAGAGAGGGCAGTGGGGATGTGAAAACAAACGCCTTTTTCACAAGCGCCTTCGCTTCATAGGCAGACGTGCGCAATGTGAACGGGAATGTGAAAACAAACGCCTTTCCCCGGCAGCGGGAATGTGAAAACAGACGCCTTTCCCCCCCAAGGCACTGTCGTGGAACACGGGAGCAACCAAAAACAAGAAAAGAACACACACACACACACACAGAGAGAGAGAGAGAGAGAGACAGAGAGAGAGAGAGAGGAAGGAACGAAGGGAGCGAAGGGAGGGAGGTGAGGGGGAGGGGGGAATGCAGAAAGGCAGGAAAGTGGCCTAAGGTCGGCAGGGTTGATGGGGAGAGAGAGGGGGGGGTTCACTCCGACTCTTCCAAGGCCGTCTCGACACGCAGGATCACGAAGCCAACTGCGATTCCGAGAAGCGTCATGCCGCACATGATGGGAATGATTCTGAAAATTTCGGCCCCGACGTCGTTGGTGGCGGCGAGGGCACCACCTCCCCCTGCTCTGGCACCTCTCCTCGTTGCCCTGATGCTAGCCGCAACCTGAGCGAACTTCTCCTCCACTGAGACGGGGGAAGACAGGACGCTGCCCGAGGCAGCCATGGGCTTCAGCCCGGCAAAGCTGGCCATCCGTGCGACGGCCTTGGGCGATGCCTTGCTGGCGACGCGCGCGCCGCTCACGGCCGCACTGGAGACCGGGGAACACAGCCCTGCGGAGAGCGTCACTGAGGCCGCCATCGCTACTGATAGGTGATGCTGCTTCTGCTGCGACTCGCCGCCGAAATGGGAGGAGGAGGAGGAGGAGAAGGAGGGGGTGGAGGAGGTGGAGGAGGAGGAGGAGGGGGAAGCGCTGCTGGATTGGCTATGGCCGATTGCTTGCAAAAGGCGAAGACAGGCAGACTGGTCCTTTGTCCGTGTCTGCCTTACCTCAGACGCCTGCTCTCTCTCTCCCTCTCTCCTCTCTCGTCTCCCTGTTCCCTTCCTCTCTCTCTCTCTCCCTCTCTCGTATCGTCCGGTACAACCCACAAATGATCCCCCGGGGTGCTCCACGACCCCCCTGACCACGGTCCCCACCAGAAACGGCCTCGCCGCACTACCCACCAAAAATGCACAAAACGAAGCTCATGGCGGCGCATCTACCCATGTTGTTACGGAAGATTCGTTCTCATTTTTGACATTTGGTGAGTGGTGCCGCGAGGCCCAAAAGTAGGTGTCGCCCATCCCGCACAAAAGGTTATCCACTATTGGGCTTCTCCTATCTGACTTCTGGTCGTGAGGTTTGGTGAGGTTCAAGCCTGGGCCGGCTTATCCGCCACGTGGACCGCGGACGACGGTAGAGGCTCGCGGGTCGAGCGCGCTGCCTTCCCTCAGATTTTCCTTCGGGAAAAAGAAACGGGGTGAGTCCCCAGACTCATCGTCGAGATTTTTTTATTTTATTTTTTAAATCGCCCAGATTTTTTATTTTATTTTTTAATTTTTTGGGAAAAATCGCCCAGATTTTCCTTCGAGTTCGTGTTTTTTTTTTTTTTTTTTTTTTTTTTTTTTTTTTTTTTTTTTTTTTTTTTTTTTTTTTTTTTTTTTTTTTTTTATTCAACCAAATGTTAAAAAAAAAAAAAAAAAAACGAGGCCAACCAGCTCAATCACTTTTTTTTTTTCCGGGGGGGGGAGGGGGAGGGGGAGGGAAGAACTAAGTCTCTATATTTCAAATGAGAAAAATGAGGCCCGGAATCCCTCAACAAACAGCCGGGAAGGGGTGCTGGGGCCATTACCCAGCTTCAGATCCTCCCATTCTTTTTTTTTTTTTTTCATTCTCTTTCATAAGAGATCTTCCAAAAGATAAACCTGGAAGCTCAGAAAAAAAGGAGAGCCCTTTTTGCTATATGCTGTTCACATTGAGGGGACTCAATATACCCTAAACGGGTATCTCAGCTGCAGGTAGGCAAAGAGAAAGCCAGAAAATTTAATGGAAGTGCCTCATCTTGCTATCGTGTGTAGGCCTAAGTGCGGCCCCACTTTTTTTAATATTTATTTATTTATTTATTTATTTATTCGGCCCCAAAATATAAGAATCCTGAAGGGAACCAAATTCAGTCATGAGTATCCTATAACCAAGTACACAGTGACATTCTTCCTTACAAGGAGATGGATGTCAGGCATTTCTCCTTGGCTCGTGTTTTCTGAAACCAGACCAAAACCTCAGCTTTGATGATTCTTCGTAACTGTTCTTTAAACCACCAGTACTTCCTAAAGTGGCCTAGCGTTAACGCTACGCAATTTTAGGAAACGTACGGGCCACTACAGGAGCGCCCAAATTCATCCAACTAGAAACGTTTCTACTCTATTTTTTTCCGCGGCCGATAGCTGGGCCAAGTACTGGTGGTTTAATTTGCTGCTTTTGCTACTGCCGGGGGTATCTTCTACTTGGAACACGCGTGCATTCCTAGCAGACCATATAACCTCCATCCGCACCCCCCTACAGCATAATTCTATGTACTAGCCCCAGTGTGGAGTGCATTGCATTCCGACAGAGAGAACGGAGGCCCGTGAGCATCCATGCATCAGACCAGTCAAATGCCCCACCCACTATTTTGTGCCAATGGTGCTTCCACCACCTAGGCAACTCGTCTGCCAAAGGGCGGTGCAGCCATAGGTGAATCATATTCTCCCACCCTCAGTTACAGCGCAAGCACTGTGTGGGGATATTCATTCATTTCGACGATAGCTACATGGCGGTTGCCTATTTAATTTCATTTGGTGATCACGGGGGGAGGTCGGCTTGTCGAAGGAAGATGAGGGGTTGAAGTCTGCTTTTAACCATTATGGATTCTCGTACCAGCAACCCTAGCACCAGCGTGGGCAGTTTCTTTAAAGAATAAAAATAAAAAAAAGATGGATTCCCGAGGTTGCTTGCCTACTGTTTTTATCTTCCGAACTATGTGGTGGAGGAGATCGGCTCATCGGAAGATGATGAAGAGTAGGGGGTTGTAGGGAAGTGGGAGGAGGGTTTCTTAATTTTTGCACCTTGATTTGGAAAAAGCAGTTTTCTCAAAAAAAAAAAAAAAAAAAAAAAGGTGGGGGCACACAACCCGTGCCGCTGGCCCGGTGGAAACATCCAGGAGGGATGCAGTGTTGGCCCGTCTGGGAGTGTTATGCGTTCGAGACGAAACGCTGATGGAGAGTTGTATGACGGGAAACTGTCAAGTACGGTTCGGAGGGCAGAGACGCACCTCTGACCCCTACCCATTTTAGGTTTTGCTTTAACTAAAGTTATTGCTTTACTCTCCTTAATGATGACTTTCTTAATTTTATGGGCGACCGCGACACTACCAAATGAATTGCTCCTTTGCACTGTTTGTTCTGTCAGGTGTGATAGCGAAGGAGACACTGCAGTAGTCTGCCGCGAGATGGACACGACTTATTTTATTTATCCAACCGCATGGTTGGAGGCACCCCAATTGACGAACTCAAGATGGGGACCACCGCCTGTCGTGAAGCCACATGATGCCAGCATGTTTTTGGACTAGGGTCTTTGTCAGACCCTTCCAAAGCCTGTGTAGACCCTGCTCAGTTAGTACAGTTACCCCTGGCAGCCGATGTGACTCAGCCCTATTCAGGGCCAATGAGGTAGTCGTCTTTCTCAGTCGTGCCTGTTGTGCTCGTACTCCCACCTTAGGCCTACATTGGAGCAGCAGAGTGAAGTTATCCCTATAGGCTATCGCCCCAGCCTAGGAGAAGCGGTTCCACGAGGAAGCGGCTGGCCAGCCTCAGGAGGATGGCCACCTGCCTTCCTTGGCCTTTGGTCTAAATAAGGACTCGTACCTCCTCCAGGTAGGTAGTGTTACCCACCCCAAGGTCTTTCACTTCCAGTTTGAGTTTTCCTCAAGCTATCAGACAAAGCGAGGCCTATAAGCATCACACCTGCACCCTTGTCCTAGCGGCTAAGTTTGGGCCCAGAACCCGAAGGAAACGGAAAGGGTGGTCTTTTGATTGTAGTCAGTTTTTCGCTGCATTCTCTGTGGATGAGAGAGGGATGGCTGCAAGTAACTCAGCTCTGTGTTAATCCAGCCTATGCAACCTTGGGAGCTTGTGTCGCATTTGCGCCAGGTCCAAGAAGGTGTCTGTCGTCAGGTCTGATAGGTCCCGAATTTGTAAGACCCATTTCTTAACCCAGGCCTTGCCAAAGCCTCCCGGAGCTTTTGCTGTTGTGTCCGTCCATCTGCAAAATATTTTCATTGTCAAATAAAAGTTGGTTTGGGACTTCTTGCTTAGTCGTTGGAGGTAGGACCTTAGTAGGCTTCACCTTATTCCAGGCGCTGATGATATTCGGCCATAATCTCGACTTGGTTCGTCGGCTGCAGAACGAAGGGCGTAGAAGACACAACCACACTTTGAAGTGATCCTGTAGTTCCCACTCCGTACCAAAAATGTACTCTAGGAAGGGCATCCAGATCTTTTGTTCGGCCTCCATCATCGCTTCCACATGCCATTTGGACAGAAGAGCATCATTCTGTTGTATAGGTCCAGTACCCCCAGACCCCCTTTTTTTCTTAGGGTGACAACTACCTCCCAGCCCACCTTCGATAGGTAACCTTTATCCTCGTTGGCCTCTGATTTCCAGAGGTATCTTCCGACTGCATTTTTTATCCTCTTATACGCCTTCTGCCCCAGCCGGTGCACCGATAGAGAAAACCATAGAACAGAGGGTGAATCTCGAAAGAACCAGCGCCCTTCAAAATAGTCATAGGTGGTTGCGTCTTTCCCACTTCGCTATGCGACCCAACACTTTGTCTACCAATATGTCGTTTTGGGTGTTTGCACAATCAGTCAAGGACACCTGAATTCCAAGGGATTTGTCACCGGTATTGGTTAGTACTTGTCCCAGGCCCCAATTAACAAAGAGAGTGTGGGATGAGTGAAGGAAATAGATAGACTTATCCTAATTGATTGAGGCCTCAGACATGCAATACACATCTACCACCTTTCTTAATTCCGCCATACAATTTGGTACATTCTTACATACCACAATTAGATCATCCGCTAATGTTCCGTTTTTCCATTGAAATGAAAGAGAGAGACGCAGCCCCACTATTCGCTGGTTAGTTCGGACGCTAGCCATAAGGATTTATAATTGTACTACGAAGATTAGAGGGGCAAAGGGACCACCCTATCTTAGCGAGCGGGATAGTTTGAACTGCTCAAATTGCTTCTCGTTCACAAGTACCATAGTTGTAGCCTTAGCATACATGGCTTTGACCCAAAACCGAAACTGAGGCCCAAAGCCCATGTGTAGTAGTATGGTGTTGACAAAGGCCCATCCAACCTTGTCATACGCTTTTTTCATATCTAGCATGAGAATAGCCATATCCCTTTTTTTTTACCAATCGCCTCGAGTGCTTGCATCGCTGCTAAGATATTATAAAAAATTGACTGCCCTTTGACAAAGCCCCCCGAGTCACTACCTACCAAGCAGGGGACTACCGAGGCCAGTCTCAAGGCTAGCAATTTTACAAGCATTTTATAAGACACGTTTGAGACGGAGATCAGACGCCAAATTCAAATTTTCCTCTTATCTTATTTTTCGTATATCAATGAAATCATATTCGTAACCAAGCTAGGAGGCAAGGAGTCTGACATGAGGGTCTTGTTAAAGATATCTCAAAAACATTAACCAAACGCATCTCAAGTCGCAAGGAAAAAACTATTGGCAGCCCATTAGGGCACTTGTCTCTCGCTATCTGTTTAGCGACATTTGTCACATCCTCCAGCGTGATAGGACTATGGAGATCACAACGCAGTTGTGGAGAGATCTATTTTCAGTTGCAACCCCGGAAGGAGTGAAACTCCGCTAGGTTGGAATCAAAGTTGTCGAACGATCACCTGGTTGAGACAATGTCCTAAAGTAAAAGATTACATACCTGCACATGTTTTTTTTATTTGTTGTTGGAGGGGCATTAACGGTAAAAGGATGGGTAAGCTCATGCAAAATTGGTTTGATTTTCTGCACGATAA